CGGAGACGAGCATCAATCTCCGTCCGTCAACACCGGCAGGAGAGCGAAGGAGCGCGAGGACCCGAACGGTGTGTGTGCGTGCGTTCTACGGTTTTTTCCCGCGGTGAAATGTTACGTTGTATCGCTCTGACACAGGTGTGAGTCGCGCGCGGAGCTGATGAACCTGCTTCTTTTTTTTTTTCTTTTTTTTTGTTGCCAGAAAATCTTAAATGTTCCTCCATGTGGATATTTCCTGAACTCTGGATCTCTGTGCTGTGACATTTAACAGGAATTGTTTTTAAAAAAAGAAAAGGAGCCTGAAGAAGAAGGTGAGACTGTTATTATATTTATATTTTATTGAACAGTTTATTGATCCGGATCAGAACCAGCTGCAGGATTTATGAATGTTTTATTCTCTTATTCCTGGTCTCCATCTGAAATATTAAAAACAAAACAATTATTAACTTCAAACATATATTAAATAGGTTTTAATTGATCAAACATTACAAACTGTACTAGAACCTCACAACTACTCAACCTTTCTTAGTTAAACCATTCAAATCTTTAATGAAATCTTTATTCCTTCAATCTGAAGCGTGTTTTTGATGAAGACTGTCTCTGTGTGCTTCCTCCCGGCCCGCTGCAGACTCCTGTGCTGATAACAGCCTGGTACTCTGCTAATTGTCGCCCTGTAGATCTAATCTAAATTGTAATGGACTTCATTTGCACACAGTTTTGACGCATTTACATTGCGCGGTGCGGCTCGTTTCCTGCGGTTATGGAAATGCGTGGAGCTTTATTTGCAGCGTTAACGCCTCAGTTGAGATCCACCGGGAGGCCCGCGGCCCCTTTCACCGCACACAGGGCTGCTATTAGTCCTAAATTTGAGCATTTACCTGCTAAAAGGACCCCAGTGGATTATGGAAATTCTTATCTAAATACATTGTCTTACACTAATACTAACAGTCAGTAATTAAGGCAGTTTATTAAAGCTGCAGGAAAGGTGTGAAGCTCTGCAGGAAGAAAGGCAAAAGCAGGATCTTTTTAAATTCTGATGTTAGTTTTATTCTTTAAATCGTTTCCTTTAAACACGTAAATGCACTTTTATTTAATGTGTGTTCAAACTCATGAAGCATTCATTTAGTTTTATCACTGCAGGCTGAAGACTGAATTACATTATTTAGTTGGTGCTTTTTACACTTTCTTCTTCCCATAATGCAAATAACTGCAGGTCACTAAATGAAAACACAAACTGTAATGTAATCAGTTATTTTAACTCAAAGAATTGTTGAAACTGAAACTTTAGGTTAGTTAGGTTTAGGTTAAGTTAAAAAAGTACTTTTTTACAAGGTATTTTGTTTTCACAGTGCAAATAAAAATAAAGTCAATTAAAATGACTGAAGCTACTTTATCAAGAATCTATTTTAATTTACAAAACTGAGTCTTACTTAAAATGTTCAGTGTAATCAGTCTCAATAAATGTAACTTGGTTAAAGTAACTGGTTTTACAGTGCATATATTACATTAAGGGCAGGCACATGAATATTAAGGAAATAGTTGTAGTAAAATCACACATTAATGATAAAAAACCCAATAAATACCATTATAATGGTGACACAGAAACAGCCACACTGGCAGAAGTTAGACATAAAGTCTCTGCTCGAATGAATAATATTTCAAATAAGACTGAAGCGATTCGGAGGTGAGAAAAGTCTCAAGTGGCCTGTAATTTAAACGTGTGGATTTTATTGTGAGCTATTGAATTAATTAAAAGGTAATGAAGATGGGAGCGATAACAGATCTGTGAGGAGTCTTTATGTAATGAGCTGCTTTCTCCCGCGAGATCTCACACCGAGGCTCGTGACACTTCTCTCACCTTTAATCATTTCTTATTAAAACAACAAAAATCAGCTGAAGGAGCAGAAAGAAAGTCCAGATGAGAGCCTGCTGTCCTTTTATTGTCACATTCATGTAAAGATGTTCTATAATGTTAAAGTGCAGCATTAAATAAAGCTCTTGCTCCTTTATTTCAGCCATCACATTGTGATTGTTATGATTATTACCAATTTGCATCCATTAGCTGGTGAATCCAAAATGTAAAATAGAAAGGTTTTGCATCTCCACTCAGCAGGATACTTTACATGTGATTGTCTCTGCATTGTCTTACTGCTTTCACTGTTAATAAAAACATACATATGTGAAATATAGATTTAGTAAAAGCTTCTAAATGAAAGTTTTTGAAGCTTGCAGGCCTTTATAGTGAAGCTAAAGTTGGTTCATATTATATCTGATCAGAGTAATAAAGAGAGTGCTGTATAACACAGGCATCTATCATTAAATATTCAGTATTTTCACCGTTTCTTTGCCCGCACTCACCTGCTTCCTCCCCCCGCAGCAGCCGACCTTCACACCGGGGACCTGAGCACCTGCACCGCCGGGAGATCTGCACCGTCCCGCCCGCCCAGACTCCGGTCTCCCCTCCGCGCTTCTAGCATGATGTCTTATCTCAAACAGGCCCCGTACGGGATGAACGGACTGGGCCTGAGCGGAGCCGCCATGGACCTGCTGCACCCGTCTGTGGGGTACCCGGGTACGGATCAGACCCTCTCATAAGGAGCCAAACACAGGCTGCTTTAAACACTTCACTTATTCCTTAAAAACAGCTTTATTTCAGATAATATTCCTATAAAATCCCAGGAAACTTTCTCCAAATATTAATAAATGATTGGAGTTCCTAATAATAATATTTATGACGCTTTTATTTTTCTGTCTGTGCTGCTCCAGTCTGATCGACACGGAGAGGATTCTACATTATTCTTAATCTTTCTACGCAGATTTTAAAGTTCATCAGCAGATTAAAGCTGATACTGAGTGAAATGAATTATCCTGAAGTCTTAAGGTGACTTTATTCAGCGGATAAAAGTGTGTGTGATTATCGCTGAATAAAACCTTTGGAGCCACAGTGGAGTTTGTTTTTGGTGTCTCTGTGCGATATTTCTTTGTCTCAAAGATAAAACGCTCCCATATCGATCCTGTATGTATAGGAAGGTTTTTTGGAAGTCAAAAAAATGTTTTATAAGCTGGAAAAACTCACTGCGTAATTAGAAAAGCGTAATTATCCAAAAACCGCATTTACGCACGACATTTATTTATCCCCGACCTCATGAACAGATGCTTGAATTCAGTTTCTAACTTTAGTAAACAGTCTTAGTGAGGATAATATAATTCATATTGTTTGTTTCTGTGTACCAGGTAACCCGCGGAAGCAGCGCCGGGAGCGGACCACCTTCACCCGGACGCAGCTGGACATTCTGGAGTCGCTGTTCGCCAAGACGCGCTACCCGGACATCTTCATGCGGGAGGAGGTCGCGCTGAAAATCAACCTGCCGGAGTCCAGAGTGCAGGTCGGTCCGGATGCTTTATGTGGAAAATATAAAAGGAAATGAGGACTATTTTTTTGTTGCAAATACTTGTAATTGGGGAGAATGAAGTTCTCTCTTATCCAACGAGACTCCTCTTTCTATTTAGGTTATAAGTGCAAAAGTTTTGCAGCAAAGAAGCAAAATAAATGCAAAGTTCCCTTAAAGCTGATAGTTTGATGCTCTACATCTCATTTAGTAACAGTCACTCTGGTTCCTGGGGGACTTTGTCACCTCGGGCCTCTGCTGATTAAAAAGTTGAGCTGTTATTGATCAAGTAGAGACACGTCTGTAATCAAACGGGAGAATTTGTCTGGGCTCTGGCAGAGTGAAGTACCGGGTTCTTAATGTGGCGAGCTTCCTTTAGAAAAGAGTTTTTGGGCTTAAAGCTGCTATGGCTGCTGCCTCTCTGCTTTCTGCTGCTGCCCTTAACAGGCATCAGAATTATCTTTAGTGTCGGTGTTGTTATTTTTAGGGAAGCATTTTATTTTTTTGCTTTGGCACACTGGTTCCCAATCTGGGGGTCCCGGGCACCGCTATGGGTCGCCAAAGCTTCACTGGGGGTCACGAGGCCTTCTTGATTTTACAGGGAGTAAATAAAAATCAGCATTTTGTTCATTTCTGTTATTTTTAAAGTTTAAAGATTATTATTTAACAAGGAACCTCCATTTTTGTTGACTCTGGCGGCCCCTGTGGCCAGAAGCGGTAGTGTTTCTACCACAGTTTCATTGATTTCAATGGGAATCCGACCCGCTGCCGGCGTTAAAACTACATGAAAATAACCAAACGTTTCACTGATGGTCTCATGTGCTGTTTATGTAGGTCACACAGAGGTTTCCGTATTAAACTGAGACTGTTTCATAACCAGTTAGAAACCCTTGTAGAAGATTTATCTATTAAGTATGTAAAAATAAAAACGTAATAGACATAATTGTAGTAAAAGTTCCTATAAATATCATATTCCTATATCAGTTCCTATAATCTGCTCAAAATTCCTCCCAACCAACTTCCTGCAGTTACTGAGTTCACTGTTTGTGTTCATCGTAAAGTTTATCAGCTGTTCTTTACTGTTATTGTTGTTATTATATATATATAAATAATATAAAATATCTATAAAATATAGTCTTTTTTTATTGATAGAAAGGGGGTCCTTTAAGGAAAAGTGCTTTATTATACAGATGAATGACAATAAAGTCTCTCTTCATTATTATAACAACAATTAGAGTTACAGGAGAATAGTTTACATGTGTTTTTGTTAGTATGAAAATGAAGTAATTCTGGTTTGTTTTGACTCCAATTTATATTTACAATATTATATATTAAAAGTACAACACATCTTAAGGGTCAGAAGCACAAGGCCCTGAACTTATTTCCATTATTGTCCCTCAAACAAATATTCCAGGTCTAAAACTAAAAACTGGAAAATGTCATCAAAAAATCAGAGAAGTTATTTTACGAATCTCATGCAGTCTAAAAATCATTCTGTTTGTTTGGTCGTTATGTTTTCAGTCAAGGTTTTATTCGTTGTTCTGCTTATTTTATTTTGAAAAACCACCCTGGATGAGTCTTCAAACATTTATTTTGACATAAATTAGCAGTTTCACAAGTAATTCTTATAATGTAACTACCATTTAATTAAAACCCTTTAACTGCCTGCTCAACCGTTTGGTAGAGGGCTATATTTATATATATATATTTAAAGGGTTAACAACCCCACCAAGAAATAAGCTTTGGAAAAAAAATTTTTTTTGCATTTCTTATTCATTTGAGTCAATAATAACCACAATATATATATATTTTTTTTTTTACTGACCCCATAGTTTTTAAAATATAGCCCTCTACCAAACGGTTGAGCAGGCAATTAAAGGGTTAAAGAAAAGTTAGTTTACTTTTTAGGATTTAAAGGGTCAGTTCACCAAAATCACAAAAAAATAAACATTTTCTCATTTTTCTCCATGCAGATAGTTTTGATTTATTAATCAGATCTGTCACAGTGAATAGAGATGTTATGACAGGTCATTATCCTCCATAATTAAGGCAAATGGTAAAAAAAAAAGGAAAACCAATAAAAGATTTGGTCACAAAAAAAGCTCAGAACAACGGAGGTGAGCTATTTTCTACTATAGAAATAGTCCTTATGGATTACAGTGTGTATGAGTTTTTCTGTGGATTATTCAGAGCAACGTTGTGCCAGCAAAGACGTGTTAGTGCTGAATTTTAAAAAGAAATTGAGTCCTTTCTCACTGCTGTTCGCACTACAGTCAATTCAGTTACAATAACCTGGAAAAAAGAGAGGAAGTGTGTTTATTTTTTACATTTGGGTGAACTTTCCCTTTAAAGTGGGAGAAACAGATTCACTGGTGTTTTTCCTCTTTGTTAGTGAAGTAATTTAGCAGCCAGCAGTAAAGGTCAAAGGTCAGAGCCACAGACTTCGGCAGCGTCATGTGAGAGGGTTGAAGGTGTTTAGTTGCAGTCGACTCCGTCAGGTTCTGCAGTTTTGTGGTTTCTGACCTCCTGACCTCCGTCCTTCCTTCCTCAGGTGTGGTTTAAGAACCGACGGGCCAAGTGTCGGCAGCAGCAGCAGAGCAGCAACAGCGCCAAGGCCAAACCGATGAAGAAGAAGTCGTCTCCGACAAGAGAGAGCACCGGTTCGGAGAGCAGCGGTCAGTTCACCCCACCGGCAGTGTCCAGCTCCTCCTCCTCCTCCATCTCCTCCGGCCACGGTGGTGCCGGTCTGATCAGCACCTCTACCTCCGTCACCGCCCCAGTGTCGTCCATCTGGAGCCCGGCGCCCATCTCCCCGGCTCCTGCACCGGCCTCACTGCCGGACCCCGCCGCCCCCACCAGCGCCTCCTGCATGCAGCGCTCCGTGTCGTCCTCTGCCACCGGGGGCACGCCCTCCTACCCGGTGTCTTACAGCCAAACTGCAGCAGCATACAGCCAGGGTTACCCGGCCTCGGCGTCGGGCTCTTACTTTGGCGGCGTGGAGTGCGGCTCGTATCTGGCGCCCATGCACCGCGTTGGAGTGCTGCTCGTATCTGGCGCCCATGCACTCCCACCACCACCACCCGCACCAGCTCAGCCCCATGACCGGCGGCTCCATGTCAGCACACCCACACCACCACATTGGCCAGACATCAGGGCACCACCACCATCACCACCACCCGTCACACCACCACCAGGCGTACAGCGCGCCCGGCCTCGCCTTCAACTCCACAGATTGTCTGGATTACAAAGAGCAGACGGCGGCTTCGGCCTGGAAACTCAACTTCAACGCCTCCGACTGTTTGGACTACAAAGACCAGGCCTCATGGCGCTTCCAAGTGCTGTGACTTCCTGTGTTTCTCTTCTTCTCTGCTTACAAAAGAAGTATTCTTTTTTTTTTGTTGTTGGTGGTTTTATTTTTGAAGATCCTTTAAACTAATAGTAGAGACATTTAAAAAAAAAAAAAGTTTATTTGTGGACTGACACAGAAATCTGAAGCCTGATTGGCGGGTTCAGCTCTGTCGCTATCAGCCGATCGACTCGTCCAGGATTATTTTTCTACTCGAGAGAAACTGACCCAGTTACAACTTTCGAAGGCCTTTAATAGTAAAAACCTGCAAGACTGTGCAGCCCGGGATCGTCTCCGCGATCCCAACTCGATCAGGATTATTCTTCAAAGAGAAAAAAGAAGTCAATTTTAAAGAAAAGAACATGAAAAACATCACAAATCGGACTCTTTTTCTTAAAACATTTTACAGAAACATGATGCTGCTATGATTTTCAGGTTGCTGATGTTCATTTCTATCTGATTTCTGACTTGAATCTTGTTCAGAAACTCGTCGTCCAGCCTGTGGGTGTTGTACTTTTGGAGATTGAATTGCAGCACTTGTTTATAAGGTGAAAGATTTTTTTTTGTTTTTGCTATTTGTTCTTTGCAGAGGAAAGAAAATAAGAAATGTGAATTAGACACGAAATGTCAGTATTCCATTGAGAGTTGAAAGATGTACATTCGTGTCTTTATAATAAAGTCTTGTTAAAACCACGAGCAGTCCGAGGAAAAGTTTATTTCTGCGAGTTTGGAGGCGTCAGCGGAGCAGTTTCCATCACAATCACTGATTAAACTGGTTTAACTGGTGTAACGTCATTCTTGACGATCAGACGACGACGACTCCAGACAGAAATTTTAGGCCTTCAGACTCGACACAATCCCCCAAAAAAGACGTGTAATTCGACTTTAACTTTTTAATTTGACAATACTTCATACTCCCGAGCGTAAAGATTTAAAAATGTGTTATTGCCTCGCAGCAAGAAGGTTGTGGGTTCGATTCCTGGCCTCGGGGCAGAGTCTTTTTCTCTGTGTAAAACCTGATGAGTTAGTTTGTCTCAAACCGATCGCCTTGAGCCGTTTAAGTCTATTAACAGTTTAAGCATGAACATTTTTTTCTTTGAGTACAAGTAAATGAAATATTTGTTAAGGTAACTCATATAAAATACTTTAATTCCATTCAATTAACTGAACCTTAATAAGTATAAATAACTATATCAGACTTATTTAACTTATTTAATGAATTAAATGCTTTTTTAAACAAATGTTACCACTCAAGTTGAATTTGAGCCAAAACATTTTTTACATTTAGTTTCATTCTTGGCTCATTTCTGCCATTTCTGCCCCCTGCTGGCCTTTACATAATAGACACTTCCACATTGTCACAGACCCAGAAGCTGTCTGTTATAAACGCTGTCAGTGGGTTGAATGGTAAACATCTGTGGACCAGTCCTGTCCATTGAAACCACAGACGTCCTTACGATCTGTAAAGTGTTTTTAAAGTCTTCTCCTCAACCAAAAGTCCACTCATGTTGGAAAGAAATAAAACAAAGTTCTCCAAACACATATAAAGTAACACAATCACTTAAAGATTTCCAGTTTTTCAAGTATTTTTTACATTTTTTTGTGTCTCCGGGGGAAACAGTCAGTCTGCCTGGTTATTGCCAAAAGTATTTATAATAATACACTTCTTATACATTTCTTATATTCAGGTGATTAAACACTAATCAAAACATACGTATGAATAATATATTTCTGATGTTACACACTAGACCTTTAACTTAAAGCTGGTGAGTAATTAAATACATTCTAGTATATTATAATCCAATACAGTCACAAAAAAAATCTGATTACATTTAAATTTAATAAAAAAAATAATGATTATTATTATTTTAAAATAAAGAACGAGTTCATTAAAATGATCTCATAGTGAAACAATGTTTTCACTGGGTGGAAATCTTCTGATTGGTTGATCATTCAGATCATTCAGATCACCTGTTGATCACCGGTTGCAGAGATTGACTCCTCAACAGTGACTGAGAGCAGCTTGGTGCGTTCACCTTTCAGCCAATCAGAGCGTGACGACGCCCGTTCTTTAAGCCACACCCAGGTGCATTCTGGTCCTTCCTCAACGCAGTACAGAACTCACTTTCAGACAGGAAACTCTGGTCTTTTTATTGAGATTTCTTTACGGTAAAAAACACTGGTGGGTGTGGTTGCCAGAACTTTACCGTAATAAATACGGTTGAACCTTTCTACAGAATATTAGTATTGTGGATTTTACGGTTAAAGTTAGAGTTTTATTCCATATTTTACCGTATAAATACAAGTTTTTACCATCAAAAGAAACAAATTTGCCACATGAAAATACCCTGTGAATGCTGTATTAAAAAAAGGTTTGTGCCGTGAGATGTGACGGTAGTTTTCTGTGCAATTTAAAATGTTGTATAAATAAAGGTTTTGCCATGAGATACAGCAGTGACTCTGTGGGTGTTTTTACTGTTACAGAAACTTTAACCTATTTAGAGTTTACAGACTTTTACTGTAACTAGTTTTACAGTGCAAGTGAGAGTGCGTAATCTGAAACTGAACCCTGATCATAGAGCCCCTTAGTACCCTTAGTACCCACAGTACCCCCATCAGAGCAGATTTTAGTGTTATTTGAGGAAGAGTCTCCTTGGCTAGCTGATTTTTATTTATCTGTTTATTTCTGTGTTGAACATCATGAATGTACTTGTGAGATTTTATGAGCCTCTGTGTTGCATGTTTTTAATAGTAAAGTATAAAAGTGTCCAGATAGTTCTTCAGTTAATTAATAAAAATTTATATTTTATTTTTCTTATTATTGCATTATTTATAAATTAACTTTTGTTCATGATATTAACTAAAAATATATATTTTGACATACATATATGGAACAACCAGCAAGGAGACTGAACCTTAAATTCATTTATTCCAACACAGTGTAACAGTCTGGTTGTTCAACACACGGAATAAATAACTTCTGGCTTCACTGAAACTAATCCTGGTGGACTGATCAATACGATGGATGATGGACGACGTTAACAGTTACTGACTAATTAACTCGCTACAAACTGGCTCCTCTTCCTCAGTTTCATTCCTCTCCTGTTGTTGCCTGAACCCGCTGGGTCTTCATCCCCAGAGTCAGAGTCCTGGTCGGAGCCACTGGGAATCAGCCAGCGGAGGGATTAAATGCAATTTAAACATTTCAAGGACAACGCAGATTATTTCCAGGATATTTGCTCATTTAATCAATTTCCAGGTGTTTCCATGACTGGAAAACTATAGCGTCTAAAGTTTTCCAGCTTCGTGTGAACCCTGCAGATGTCAGCATCGACTTAACCTTCAAAAAACCACCTCATTAATACACACAATCGCCATATTTGGCAACAAATATTAAATTTTTTATGTCACACCATTTGTCAAACAGATTTTTCTCTCTCCTCTGGTCCAGTATATAATCAGCTATGTGGTCATATGGCTGTATCATGGGCCGTATGTGGACTGTAATTCATTGCTGTATTTGGGCGGAGTATAATGGGATCGACTATATAGGATATAATTATTTATAATTTTCACTTCTTGACAGAGGAGTTAGCCGCTAGCTCACCAGCTAGCCCTACGAGTAGCCACTACAGTATGTTATCAAGTTTCAGAAACCACATAATTGAATGAAACAAGGGAGCTTTCTTCTCAAATAATTTAGGTTAGACAAAAAGAAACAATCGAGCTATTGTGACTGACTAGCTAGCATGTTACCGGTTTGCTACGGTGTTAGCTGTTAGCTCACCAGCTCACTACAACACATCACTAAGATTCAGAAACAACATATTTTGCCGCTTTCTGGGTTGTGAACCTGTCAGTACCAACAATATACCGACAACTTTATGGTTGGTCGCCATGTTTGGTTTTTAGCGCCGTATTCACACGTTACTGTATTACAGATAAAAGTTTATGAAAAGATTTTAAGCGAGAAAAAGGCAACGCAGTAACAGAATCTTGATTGGTGCAAATAGAAAATGGGAAAAATAAGTGATTCAAATCAGCATCACAACATATAAAAGCTAAAATTATGAGTTCTTTGATCAATTATTCGGTCAACAGAATATTTGTGGCGAATGATTTTAGCTGAAGAAGGTCAGTATCTCGTATAACGTCGATCTGTCAAAGCCGTTTCCACACTGCCAACACTAACATCTGTAAATAATGGAGATAAACAGACGTACATTTTCAATTATGACCGATTTCAAATGTACATTTTACGTTTCAAAGTCCTTGAAAATTTGATTTTTAACTCACAAACCAAACAGTATATTTAAAACCTGCACGTGAAGGCAGTATGTTATCTCTGGCACCCGGAGGAATATCCAAACAGCGTATAATCAATAATCAAACCCCTCCCTCCTTCTCCTCCTCCTCCTCCCTCCTGTGAGGAGGTGGACTCGCAGCCAGGCAAGTTAGCAAACATGTACACTGGCGTCCCCCCCGTTGTTTGTTTGGCCGTGTCGACAGTAATGTACAACTCATTTGATCCGAGGAAAAAAGGGACGAATCACGATTTTAATTAACAGCCGTTCCCGCTTCCTCACAACGTCCCTCCAGCAGCTGGACAAACAAGTTTTACGGTAAACATGGCGTCCAGGGACGTGTGTTTGCCCGCTCCTGCGTCCTGCTGGGCTTTAAACCAGCGCCCACCACCGCCGCCACCGCCTCATGGCAAACACGAGCCGGGATTTACCACATTAGAACGAACTAATCTGTAGGCCATGTTCAGGCAATCTCTGCTGCTTATTTTAGAGAGAGGACGCCCCCCCCCCTCTGAACAGCTGTTTTGGATGTCTTATTACGCGCCAGCCTCCCCCGCCGCCGGGGGCGTGAACTTTCTATTCCTTGTCTTTGTGGCAACAAAGTGACTCTGCTTTTTGGCTTCTCACTTTTCCAGAAGGCCTCTGACAAAAAGCACTTTGTCTCCTCGAGGGATCGCCTCACTTTTTCCTGACGAGAGCTTCAGAGGACATCAAAGTGTCCTCTCGAGTGCCG